TCTTATATTGTGTATATATATATATTATTTAATGGTGCACACCATACTATAGTGTTTCTTTGCAATGGAACAACCAAGCATTCCCATTTTAGGTATGTAGTTTTATGCAAAAATGTTGGATCGAATGTTGTGCAAGACTCTTTTGTTTGCAAACATTTCAAAATCCAAATTGATGTACTCAAGGATTGAAGTTATATTTCAGTTTACTCGGCGAACAGTGCTGTTTGGCACTGTTTAAGTTGGTCTTGATTTGACTCCTATCTGGACTCTTACTTGACTTGATTTCAAACCTGATCAGACTCGATTTAAGCGTCTACAGCACTGATTCACACACGCCCTTTCCCTCTCTTTTTATCACCATCTTCTCCTCCCTTCCTTTCCCACCTGCACTCGTACAAAGTGAGATAATAAAACACCACAGACGCTAACACCACCCACACACCCACAGACAAGTCTGGTGGAAAACAAAAGAACTCCCTGTCCTTGCAGAGGGAAAATAAAACAAAAAATAACACAAAGCCAGCGCAAAATGCTCAGTAAGCCCTAGGTAATTAATTAAGAGTGAATTCAGATGTAGTCATGGCTTAATACCCAGCAGTGCAGTGCTAAATTGCAGCGAAGTGAAAGCTAATTAGGCCTGTCTCTTAAGTCGTGATGTGTTTTATTTATGACTGCATTTCTGGAACGTTTTCTCAATTTATGCGGCACTACCATGGTGACCGGCAAATTTTACGCCGCTGGTTTTAAACTCTGGATGTCACAGAGCATTCATAAATCTTATTATTGGGTGGAATGAGTATGTAAATCATGTAAAACAAGAACAGTTTATGAATATTCATAGTCACTATCATAGATCTGGGTAAGTCGTTATGAGTTGGCTTATAGCTCCACCATGGGCAGACAGCTCATTCTTAAAAGCTATTCATCATTTGACGGTGTCACTGCAGACTGTCTCATCTGTAAAAGCACTAAAGTGGCTTTCACTCTCCAACAAACAGCTTGGGCTCTGTGAGACTCTTCAAAGCTCTGCATCCAACACTGTTATCGCATCTTTACACATTTTCAATAGTTTGTTCTATTTTCATAAAGGGGTAGTACTCCAGTAATTCAGAACTGCCTTGCAAACCAGCATCAATTTACCACAGACAATGAACACAATCCAACAATCAGATATATGTCCATTTATGATCTTGCTGTTTTCTGTCAGGTAACACAAACATCATTTGGAGGCAACTAGAGATGACTATGGAGACAACAGATGTTGCAGCATCTTTTTATGAGCAATGGTTAACAATACATGGTCTCACAGTTTTATGCCAAAGTTTAAATAGTTTTGGTTATTTTATATAAGATATTTCTCCATTTCTGGACCTTTTCAGGGGTGGTAATATCCTTGGGTCACATATGTGAGTGAACCAATCAGCCTTCTGCAACATTTAATCTTATGATAGTAAGTGTGGTTGTTTGCCTTTTTATTAAATCTAACAACACACCCAAACAGTCCTGATGAGTTTTTGACTGTTAAACTCTAATGGATGTTTTTTTCAATATCAAACTTTGTTGACAATTTAGTTATGATTATTTAAAGTTACAAAGAAAACTACATGATTTTGTCTATTACAGTGGTGTGATCATCTTGATCCAACAAAGGGCATCCACAGTCCCTGAAGGCCCAGAAGGCAGTTATATAGTGTGTGTAATATGCTACACATATACAGTGGGAAGGAAAGCTTACTGGTTTAAACAGGCATAGTTGAATGGCTCTACAAATAGTCTTTACCTGCTAAGACATTTCCAAAGTCCTATTATTTCAGCCTGATTTAGTAAATCACTGGCTGATTATTACACAAATGTATTAATTGTCTAACACATGGTGTGACTCAGTCCAGGTCCCTTTCAATTAAACTAAATGTGATTTACAGCAATTTACATAAAATTAGTTTTTATTATTATTTTGTTTGACTATATAAAGCAAAATATGTTATTTGTGTCATATATATCTGTGGGGTAGTGCTGAGAAAAAATAGACATGCCCAAGATCCGGCGCTGTTCTGCCTCTTACCAAATTTATTTCTACTTTTTTACATGTACAAGGCTTTTTATAGCACAAATGATTTTAGTGTCTTTGGCAGGACAGCCATTAAACTGTAGACTGACCTTAAGAAAGTCTACCAGTGCAGCCCCACAGTGCATTTCAGTGACAGTTGAGCAGCTTCAAGGGGACACTGTCTCCTGCCCTTGGCTTTCTCAGTCAGTTGAAAGACCCCATGGGGTATCTAGAGCTCATAATTAATTGATTAATTTCTTGTTTGGTTCTATTTATAGTCAACCGCTTCCGTACAGTAACACTTCCTTCTTCAGACCTACAAACACACAACACTCATGGTCATAGTGTGTCAATTGCACACCAGGGAAAAACTAATCTATGCCTTGTCGTGTCTTATCTCATCTCTGTTATTGTCGCATCCACAGAAAAACAGAGCACACACAGTGGGAGCCTCACAACATGGGGCATGCATATTTCAAATGCTCGATTGAGTAGATGGCATCGCCTCGCACTCTCTCGGTTGCTAAGGGCTTGATCGGGGGGGGGGGGGCATTTATGGCGGGGTTGTCATCCATATTGAATGATGTTGCTGGTTGTGTAGCGGCCATGTGACTTTGTTTTCCTGCAAGAAGAAAGCAGACATGCGTCCTGCTCAGTGTCAGCACAAACTTGAAGTTGTTGAAGTCACAGTATGACTCACAATGAAAGAAAATTAAACGTAATCAGAATTAGGGTTTGTTGGTATTCATGATTTTTCTCATAATCTCTGGCTGCTTTGATTAAAACATACAGTTGTAACACACATAAATGTAAAGACAGCTGTATGACCAGTAGTGGAAGAAGTAACAAGACAATACGACCATGTGAAAGTACTCCACTATAAAAAAAAGTTTCAATACCACACTGCAAAAAGACTCCTTTGTATGTAAGAGTCCGTCATTTGACTTAACAAAAATGATGTAAGTGTTAAAAGTACTTTGTGTGGTTGGAAGACTAGAAAGCTGCTATAAAGTACCTTACTAGTATGTACTATATTATTATTGTTACTCAGGCAGTAATGTGTAAGCAGCAGTAGCAGTTACTTGAGGTGAAGCTTATTTGAACTATTTTGATATACTGTTATCAACAGTAAAATGTAACACAAATACCTTTAAAAAGCAGGGGAGTAGTGGAGTGACGTTCTGATACACATTAATTTTTTGGACTCCTCAAATCTTGTGAGAAGACAAGATTATTAAAGGGTCGGTGGATTATTATTGGATGAATTAATATAAGCCTCTTTGTGTATGTCTAATCCTGATTTAATTTATGGACTGGAGCTAAAGGACATGCTTCTGCATCACCAACACCAAAGATGGGGTGAATGGTGAGGCTGTATCGGTGTACGTGACATACTGTGTAGTAAATAAATTGGATTTAGGAATCATGTGGGAGAGAGTAACAGTGTAATGAGCAACAACAGATATTTTTTAAGGCTACTCATTACACTGTTGCAGATATAAATATGTTTTCAGTCATTCCACTGCACACTGTTAGTTCCATCAGATCTCCTTCATATTGTATATTTTCCTGCTTAAAACACACATGATCTTTATGTTATGATTGAACAGAACACTCGCTTTCTGTGACAAAATATAAAAATCATTTTAGACATAGAGGCATATTTTCATATGAATTTTAATGGGTCACATATGTCAAACAGATTTAAGCCTGTTTCATTGATAACAAGGTTTTAAAAAAGAAAATAAATCATTGTATTTCCATGTGACTGTAAATCTGGATGTGCATAAATGAGTGAAAGAGCAGAGAAGAGAAAACCTCTGGACAAAAAAGACAAGAGAAAAAGACCAATAACGTCTCCCTTGAGGCATTCCTATTTATAGGGGTTGGACATCGCTTCAGATTAAAATCAATGACAGCCATTTGCTGCCCTCTGCTGGAGAAAGATAGTAGGCTACGTAGCTGTGGTAATAATTTTAAGGAGTACATATTCTATGCGCCTGCTCCAAATCCTTAACATTTAACTTTAATTAAGAATAATACAAACACTAAACTCATCTTTAGAGTGCAACTGTGGTCACGCACACACATTGTTGTGTACTCCACATGGAAAAAGATGTAATTCAATTAATTGGACCATGACTTCACATTCACAAATTCTCATCCACATTGCCCCCAGTCATTCTCTTATAGTTCATATGACATAAAAAGGACATGAAAAAATGCAAATCGGAGCACAAGCATCTTGAGGGGAAGGGTGATCAGGCTTAAAATCTATTAAATTACAAAATTTAATTAAACTTTGCTAGATAATTACACAACAAAATGTCTAGCTGCCTCTCTGTCCTTCTTTGAATGGTCATTAAAACATTTTTAAAAATTGAGAAAAGTAGTTACTTCAATCAGGGTGGAAATTAAACATTAAATTAACTTCATTAGTTTTTTTCCAAGTTAAAACACATTTAGCATCCACCGCTTTATATGTGTAGGCACTGTGATTTCATTTTGAAAATGTGAACACATTTATTTTTGTTCGTAATGACTCCAAACTAGTATATTTAAATGCTTTTCTGTCAGATGTTTCTCTTCGTTATTGAAAAGTTGGCCTTTTGAACAAAGTGCTGCTTTCCAGAAGCATTAATCTCTATTTCTTACCTCATCATGGAGATTCAAAGGGGTACTTATCAGTTCCATTTCACACAGCCTTTTTGATATCATGTCAATATGCAGTCATGTCAACACGAATATAAAAAAGGCAAAACATGTCAATTAGAGAGACCTTCAAAAATCTTGACTCCAGGACTGAATATGAAACTAGAAAGGTTGTTTCAGCTCATGCTTCATTGTCAATATCGTACACAATATACTCTCTCCATAAACATTTGGGTTTTCACTTCGAGGTGCCAAATCTTTGTTTCACAGTAATTAATCCAACAACCCTTTTATTCACTCTAATACCTCATCTTTACTTTCATCAATGTTTCACAAGCCGCCGGTGTAGTGTAACAGAGCCAGCACTGTACAGTATCTGTATCAGCTTGCAAAGTCGACATAAAATCCACGGATTAAATTTTTGATCTGAAGCACCAGTTTGCTCGCAGCTGGAATTGACAGAGAGTACAAAGCAGGAAGGTTTAAACTGTCGTTTCTAGGAAAACCGTACTGCAGCAAAACACATATTGCTATTGCAAGGCATCAGCAGGCCTTCTGCACGTGTACCTGTACAAAACCCTAAAGCAGTTTTCAAGTGGTGCTAGCAAAAAACAAGTTAAGAAATAAATGATAATTCAATGGTCATTGCTCACAAAAGGTATCTGACACACACCAGTATTGTGAACTTAGACATTCTGAAAGAGGATCCTACTTTTATTAGGGAAAGTGTCAGTGCGGAGACTTAAAAAGAAGCTTGACTATTCTGAGATGTAAAAAATTAATCTAAAGTTTTGAACTGAACTCTTAACAAACAAACATGTCAAGTCAAAAGATGTCACTGACTGGAGGCAGTCAGATCTTTAAATCTACATTTTGATTTAATGCTCAACCTTCCTGATGTGTTAATGATTAAAGCCACAAAAAGGTAGGAGGATCAAACAGGTTTCAAAGCCCTTAGCAGGCTCACATCGTGGCGTAACACCTTTACAATGTAAAATAGAAAAACTTAATGCGCGCACCATTCTTTACAATGACACTGTCTTAATAAATCCAACATATCTTTTCCAATCTGAAAAAAATACTGACAATTTTGAGATGATACTTGAAAAATACTGTATTTTGGGTCAAGCACTCTTACAGAAGATCACATTGACACTTCCTTCAAAAAGCAAGTACACTTGTCAACAAACAGAAGCCATGAGCACACTGTTTCACATTTACATCGACATTCAATTCAAACTTCTTTCAAAATCTGATGTCCTAAATGGTCCAGTAGAAAACAAAATGAAATATGCATTATCGCTGTGTGCTATTAAATATCATAGCATGTCCATGAAGAAAGCCCTTTATGGTGACAATATCTCAGAAACATAATGATAGAAAAATGAAAGCTGCAGCAGATCAACTAGTAATTACAAAACCACAATTCTTTGGTTCTTTGCTCCACGTTTTCCATTGGTTTGCATTAATTCTAAATGATGCCAATTCAACACATCAATCCGCTAAAAGAAACAACTGAATATAATTGTATTGGGTTAAGCTAATTCATATAAAACCACATGAATGGCAGTAATAAAATAATAGAAAACCTGTCCGTCGTCTACCATACTGTAAAAGATGAAATTGGTATTGTCACTACTTGTAATATTATTATTAATATTTATGCTACTATTGCTACTGCTATCACTACTGCTCAGAGTGAAAGGTGTGGCCAATACTTTGCGGGCTAACATTTGTAAACATATAAATATTTTTTAAATATGGGAAACAGTTTAATTTTTTCATCAAATTTCAGGAGAGAAGATATTCAATCTTCAAATCTGTTAATAAAAGTCTGTCTTCCAGTTTGACAACAATGTTTAATAGAAACATTCTGAAAAGTGTTTGGTATCATAAAATGTACTGAAACAGTAGAAACATTACTTTTTGCCTCTTATTGCTGCATCACGGTTAAAACATTATTCCACTATTATCTTGTACTCTGCAATTATCTATTTTTCACGTTGAAGGAGAATTGAGATCCCACATGTGTATTTAACGACTTAAGTGCTTTGACTGCTCATTACTTCAAATTCTGGTTTCTACAGTTGAATCGAGAACAAACATCTCCAGGTTGATGAATCAAACTGAATCACCGTTAAGGTATTGATTCACACCCTAAAGTTTAATATTTCTACTCATTACTTCACATTAACAAACTAATTTAAGATGAGAAGTACCATGCTGAAATGGCTCATGGACACTTCAACCTTCCACTGGCAAGTGCGATGAAAAACAGATCATACACGTGCATTAGACAAGCAATATGTAAAACTTTAAAACAAAAACATCCTGTAACATTTTGAAATGAACTGTGACACCTTTCAGACATTCTTACTCTAATACAAAGCAGCTTTGTTAAATATCTCTCTTTAGCACTACAGTATAACTGCTACAGTATACATTTCCTTGGATCCTAAAACAGATTTCGACAGGGTGAATAGGGAGCACTTGATGTTCTTTAAAAATCTGGATTTAGATCAGACTTCATTTTGCGGATGCAGCAACTCTATAAATCACCAGACGTTATAAACCAGAATTGTCTTGTTTGGGAAGAAGAATACATCTTAAAGCTGCAGTATAGTCAATACTTTTTAAATTAAGAATGGACCAATGGATGCGATGTGAAAACACAACCCACTCAGCACCAAACAGCAGACAAAGAGGTGGCTAGCTGGTGAAAAAAGTCAGGCCTTTAGCAGCTAAAGAGCCAGATATGTTTATTAAAAAATGGTAGAGACCAAAAAAGCATCAAAGGAGAGTCAATATTAGATTTAAATTCATCAGGCCTAAAACAAAATACTAATACTAATGTCGCTCATTGTCTTCTGGAAATGTAAAAAAGCAATTTTGGCTAACACATTTGTATAAAATCTTAATACGGTCATAATATCAGTGTTACGTTTAACGATTGTTTGGTGCTCCCAAATGGTTAAAATAAATAAATTAATGCAGCTTTAAATTGTTTTTTTTGTTTTTTTTCATATTTTGTTGTTGTTGTTTTCTTTCCATTTCATGGGTTAATGTTTCTGTTATTTTGTTGTTTATGTGTTTCAAATATTCAGCCCCTTTCATTTATGTAAATGGGGTGAACACAACGTTAGAAACACCTTCGAGTATTTTGAAATTTACTGCATGGCTACTGTTTTGGATTACATTAGATTGCACAGGCGTACCTAATAAGTAGTAATGGTAAAGTGTGTAATTTGCCTCCATTGATTCCAAACTGCGACTAATGCAACGGGTCCTAACTTTTATAGAGTTGTGACAAGCATCTGTCCCCAGTATGTAGTGTAACTACGAATATAGTAAGGACAGAAATATTTCATCTCTCTACTCATATCGCAGGGCTATGTTGGATCAGTAGAGTGCTCTTACACATGCCTTCACACAGGCACACAGGTCAGACAATTTTGCAGACAGGAGGCTTTCTGTGAGACAAGGCAGGACAAGAGGAGCCCAAATATGGAACTGGTCCGATAAAAATAAGAGTTGCTTAACTTCCCAATCTTGGCTCTAAGCAATAGAACGAGGGCTAAATATAAAACCTTGTGGTTTCACGTGTCTCGCCTCTGCAGCAGTTCTCAGGTCCCTTACCATTTCATTAAAGTATTGTTGCTCTCCTCTCAGCCCAGAAACCTCTAGTAAGAGGAAGCTTCTTGCAGAAGTGAAGCTGAATAAATACAGCAGTGTATCATTACATACAAAATAACTTTGATTACTGCCTCTGTGTGCCAATGGATGGAAGATGGCACATGATATTTGTGCAACTACATTGTCCTCTCCCCGACACCTATCACATCAGCAAATGGTCATTTTTACATAAACGGACATAATACTCCATTTTTACACTACTTTAACACTTTTTAAGTGTCTCTGGAAAACCTTACAATCTCAAACAGTCACTAAAGTACACGTTCCCTTTGTGCTCTCTGTAAAGTGTATTGTGTCTCTTTCCTGGGGTTTGGTACCATGGCAGTATCCCCAGCAGGCTTCATTTAGAGTGCTGCTCAGCAGAGTCGAGAGCGAGAGAGCAACGGATCTGCAGCCAAATCAGAGGCCTGATACTCTTTTGCTCTCAGCAGTCCATGGGGACTTTCGCAAGGAGGTGTCCTCTTCCGCCTTGTCAGTACTTATTAATCCCAAAGATCCTCACACCGTGCAGCTGGGGAAGCTTGGGGATGAGTACAGTGAGCAAGGAAACCGTGTTGACCACAAAATGAACCCGATCGTATTTGGTGTAGAAGCTGGTTAGTATATACCTGATTCAGAGACAAATAAGAGAAGAATAAGATTACAGGGGTAGAAATGAGTAGCAAATTAACTCTAGATAAAAGTTATTCTGCATTTCTCTAATGTCTACAACAGTAGCCAGAGTGTCATAGACATGCAATTCTGTTAACAAGCCTGGTAAACACAATTTTGGATTTAAAATTTAAACTGTTGAAACATCACTTCAAATATGCAATAACCTTTCACTCATTTTTCTTCACAGCAAGTTTCCTAACTAGCGGACAGTGCCAACACTTGAATCTGTGAGACTGTTTCAACACGCTGAACAACTGGATTGCAAACATCAGTGATTATGAATTGAACTAAAATATGCACATCTGATGCTGCAAATTAAATAATGAACAACTCAATTAACAGACAGGAAGCGTGGCCTAGCAACATACTTTCAGAAATGCATCTAAAGAGGGTTCCCAGCACTTTCTCCATGAACTCTGGCTCTGTTGCTTGCAGAGGATGCACAGATGTGTAACTCCTGGTGAGACACCAGAGTCAACAAGAAACTACGCTTTATATAAGCAGCATTTTTAGACCCTGTCTACACGAACACGGGTATTTTCTACGCGGTTTGGCCGTTTCTACACATAGAAACGCAGTATCAGGTCACTGAAACCTTGAAAACTCCTGCCAGGGTGAAGATTTTAAGAAACTCTGGTTGCAGTGTTGTTGTGTAGACAGTTTTTGTTTTGCAACGTCAGAGTGCGCGCTGTTATCTGCTGTGTTTGATTAGATTGTGCGCCACTGCCTGCTTTGTTTACCATTTTAATAGGCTCTGATTGGCCAACCTGGCTTTATAGCTCTTGACAGCGCATGATAAAGTGTTTTTGCGTTTTCGTGAAGACAGATTTCTTTTTAAACGAAGGAGGAAAAACTCATATGTAACTGTACACACTAGTAAGGGATATTTGTGAGCTTACAGTGAGGAATTACACATCCTGTTCTTTGCTGAACAAGTAAGGACATGTACTAAAGGTTCTCGAAAGACTCTTGCAGATGTGTAGCTTTACCACCTGGAGCCAAAAGACTGACCACTTGTCTCTTCCTGCTTGCACTGGTTGCAAAACAAAATGACTAAGAGGCCTTTGAAACTAGTGTAAAAAAGTACACCTGCAAAAGTGCTATCACTACAATGTTCAGGGCTGAGCTGGCAAATCAACCCCAGGGAACCAGAGTGTCTCCTGTAAAGTGAACTATGCTGGTTAATAAGGACAGAAAAGGTGTGTACTGCTGCAAATACTAAGCCCCTTAACAATTTGTCAGCTTGGCTAATAAGGGAGTAGCAGGGACGCTAATCAATCAACACTCTTTGTGAGAGCAAACTCAAAAATAGAAATACAAGATACATTTTGTAATGAAAAGCACATTTTTTGCAGATGTACCATAACAGGTACATAGTAAATTCAGCACCGGTACAACTTTGCACAAGTTCAGTCTGAACTAAAGTAGATGTGGCACACTGATTGGCACAGGGGAAAGCACTCATCCACTTCCATGGTCTCCCACAAATACAATTAGTGCTGGTGGGTGGGAAGCTGGTGAGAGATCATGTCCATGTCGGAGCACTAAGACTTACTCTGTTTAAACATTCCCAATTTCAAGCTTTCGTACTCTATACAGTACTCGGTACAGTCCTGCTCTACTCATTTCTCAGCGTGTAATCAATTTTAGATCCATTCTTTATAATCAGCTATTCCCTCCACCTGCTACACAACTGAAAGCCAAGCATAAGTTTGAGGGGGGGGGGGACACTTACAGGACAATAGGTGTGATGGTGAGGAACTTGCGTGAAGCAGTGAACTGCACACCGTAGTCCATCTGCTCCCAGTGTGTAAGTAAGCGAGCCTTGCCCTGGTCCGGGGTCTCAAAAGGCGTCCCTTTGACCGTGTGAAGTAGGAGGTACATGCACTAAAACAGACAAGAGACACGTCGTCAGAGACAAAAAGAAGAAGAAATAGAAATAACACAGAATTTATGTTCTGGGGGATGATAGATTCTGTCTACAGGAAAATTGTCTAGGGAGTCTTGATTTACTTTATAGACCCTAAAACCTAGCAGGAAGCCCACAAGTAACAAGTGGAAGTGCTCTCAGGATGTGGTAAGAACATTTTTAAACTGCATGATGAACTACCCATATCCTAATCTGGCTCACAGGAAGTAGGCTGTCGATATAAGCCTGCCATTGGCCGACTATTTCAGTCAGAATTCCCCTCCCCTTCCGCTCTCTTTTGACACTATATTGCAAATGCACCGTCGCTGTATCCTTAGCGAGGACCAAGACAATTGTGATTTTTAGTGGGGGGCGTGGATGTTGAGCAGACCTAAAGTTGTATGAATGGGATTCATGTGATGGCATCAAAGAAAGGTTATTCATTTTTTATCAATCGCCTGTGTTTTAATCATTGCTCACGATGAAATTCACTTTTGCCGATGTTGTGGGCTTTTTGTAAACTTCAAAGAGGGTGTAACAAAAAGTTTGACAACCACTGGTTTAAAGAAATACAAGCAAGTCTGAAAATAGGTCTGGCTATGCATGATTACCCATACCCCCAAATCCCCAACTCTTTATTCCTGTCACAAGATTAAATTGTAGTCACTATTGTACTCTTCTCAGAAACAGAAGGCCAGCCATCCAGTCGCAGGTAATCAGAGTCTATGATGAAAGACTGAGGAACGCCTCAGCTCAAAAAATTAAATGCTGTTCGAAACATTACTGGCACCAAACATGACTAAGAGCAGTGAAGCTGCAAATTTCCTGTCTTCTTGTAATACCTTTGTGCAGAGATGTGTTAGTCTCTGCCTCCTTTGTAAAGTTACTTTCCTTCACTACACCCAAAGCCTTTTACCAGGCAGCACTGTGTGCGTCCTACACTGACCCTGACTCCTTCAACAACTGTTACAACTAACTGTTAACTGTGGCAGTGCTGCTGCCTATGGGCACTCTGCTCAACTGACCAGATTGTGAATGAGGTTGGTGAGGGTCCAGACCACGGGTACGCTGGCAAAGGGAATGCTGAGCAGGATGACGTGCAGGAGGCCGATGCCCAGGATGTAAGACAGCCACATTCCTCTGCTGTTCATCACTCGGGTGTTGGGGTTCACCTCGCTGTGCGCCGTGCCCACATTCATGATGGCGGTGGTGCCACTCGAAAGGCACTGTACCTACTGTACAGACACTAAATGCTCTTAGTTTGAACCCAGCTGGCGTGACTATCTGTCTGCTGTAAGATAAATGGAAACAAGTCTATATATAGATTTTGCACATCATGATGTATCAATTTAAATGTATAAATCTTATCAATGTTAATTATCAATACTATAGTAATATTGATTTAGTGGCCCAGTCCTACTGCTTTTAATTCAATCCCAAAGCACCTATCATTTGCTCAGATATTTTTGCAATTAAACACAATCGATGATGATGATTTTAGGGGACACCTGCCAGCCAATCAGACACCAGTATTTTCTGTGGTCATGGTATTAGTCTGCTCATTTTAAAAAGAAACCTTTGCCTTGAAAAAAAAAAAGCTGCTGAGAATCTGCACGGTCAACAGTAACTGATTGACACTGAGAGTAAATACTGTAACAAGCGCTTGGTCATTCCAGCATGCTGTTTTGTAAGTTGCCAGAGCCTAAAATGTAACTGGCTACATAAGTATCCATAACGCAGCTTCAAAGATCTACAAGTGTGGACTAGATAACTAGCACTACTTGAGTTAAAAGTGTACCAATTATAACTGAGTAAATAAATCATTACACTCACTGCAGAGAAAAATGGCTTCAACTCCGACGTGTATTAGTCCGTTATCACAGTTTTTGTCTTATCGATGCCTTCAGATATGTAATTAATACTATCACTGAGAGACCCGGCGAGGCTATCGATCAGTCATCCGGTACCATCTTTCAGCTCCAAACGTGGTGCTACGGTGTGCTCGTGGGCGAACAATCAGTCGAGACACATCTACTTTTTCTGCGTCTTCCAGACAACAGCTGGTGACAACACAGCACAGTTCGTGGTGTTAACGTCATCGCTATTCGTGTTCACGGCCCCATGTTTTGGGTGAGTTTTTTCATTCTTCGCATTCTGCTGTGATTGGATGCTGTGTGTCACATGCCCAAAACTAACCTATCACCGTTTAATGCGTTGAACGATGATGGATTACGCCCCCTTTCTACGTCACAGCGGGGGAGGGACCCGAGGAAACTGGCATGATTGACAGATGAGATTTGATAACAGAAAAATTAAAACGTTAAGGAAATAATGATTGTACTGTAATATTTTCATTATATATGATATATAATATTTTAGCAATACTTTAGTGTAGAGTTTCTAAATATTTGTGTATGTGATTTTTTTCTTACAGTATTCTTTTTTATTTCTTACAGTATTCTTTGTAACACAAGCACAAGGAAATATGACTTGTACACTCTTTAGATAAAGTATATTAAAACAAAAGCTCTTACAGATATATTTTAAGAAAAATAATATCTATTTTATTCTGCCATTGTTAATTAACATGTTCACACAACCACAATGACAATGCAAACAGGCTGATGTTTACCAGGTTCACCATCTTAGTTTCTGCTGTTAGCACGCTTACACTTGCTAATTGGCACTAAACACAAAGCACAGCTGGGCACAGCTGATGGAAATGCCATTAGTTTTGCATGTATTTGGTCATAAACCAAAGCATTGGATAAATTAAAATTGAGGTGGTTATAGAGGAAAGGTCAGAAGATCACCAAAGTCAGGAGGATTCATCCCATGGAGATCATGGATATTTATGCAAATTTCACGGCAGATAATCCAAAATGTTGAAATATTTTAGTCTGGGGCAAAGTTGTGGCTTGACAAACTCACCGACTAACAGACTGACATAACCATCCCTAGAGCCACATGCCTGGGTAAAAATGTCTTAGCTCTTACACATATAAAAAACAGATATAAAATAGTGAGAAAGACACATGAGATAAACTAGGTGTATGTATCATGGTTCTTCAGATATTATTTAAATTCACTTGAGTTGGTCATATCTGTTTAAATAAAACATCCACTGGCTCAGATGCCTCTCTGGTTAGCCCTTGATACCCAAGTACAAAAGGAGGCCCTTGACTATTTATGTACCCAAGGTGAGAGGAGACCTTGCTGGAGGCAACAAAAAATGACTGAAAGGGCTGATACTTTGGTCCCAAAATCAAAGAGCAACAGTGTCATGTTCTAGGTCCCAAGATACTACTAATTTTGGCCCACAGTGGCCCGAGGCCCAAGGGGTCAACTGTGTTCTACTTGCATGCGATGTTACATGACACCGACTGTTTCTAAGGGTACCCCTGTGATGAGTGGCAAAAAACAGGTTTGGCAGACTGACAGTGGACTCTCTTATATGCCTGATAGCCTTGGGTGCTGTAGCTGTGTTAGCTGTGTAAACCTAGAGCTCTGTTCAAATGTGAACTATGGATGATAGTGTTGTGAGATCATTGCTGGCACTGGAACAATGGCCAAATACATGACATTGATAAAACAGACCTCAGGAGGGGGGCTTCAGGACTACAGATGCAATGTCAAATCAACAAGTCGTCATCTATATATGACATTTAGAGACATAATGTAGATTTTAAAGGAAGACAGTAACCCTTTTTCCAGTGCTTTCAATAACTTCAATTATGGACACTTCAAGTGAAGTGAAATTAGGATAAAGACAACTATAAAAAAGTACATGTATGATGATTAATAACAAATAAGCTGTTTTTATTCATTTAGATATGTTTTTTGTCCACCCACATAGTGTTGCTTTTCAGTTTTATTGCACATCACACATCTGAAATACACACTCAGCCAAGAAGGAGTAGGTATCTGATCTGAAGACAACACCGGCAACCACTGACGATGATGAAAATCAAATCTCCGATGCGCTGCAGTCATTGTCATATCATATTTCTTCACAACCACATATTTAAAAGATGTTTCTATGTAGACGACAGTTTTCTACACATGGGCTAATGCTCACAGGTTGTCTGGCTAAGCTGTGAACTTAGTGAAAATTCTTTATATATCATTAGCAAACAATGGGGTTTTTTCCCCCTAAGACTTAATTAACAATTCATAAACTTTTATGAACTCCAATTTTACAACCATAATACTATACCTAACATGCACGTATTTTGGGCAGAATATGCAAATTCAACACAGAAAGGACAAGGGCCGAGTCCAAAAACATTTCAGATGTTAGGATTTTTATAATGTACTTTTTTTTTTTCTTGTTGTAACATTACCTTGACATCGTCTTGTGCTGTTACCACTTTAATGAATACTCCTTAAAAGAGCCAGCATTATACATTGTCACTTTGTTGTAGCTAATAGTGATTGAATTGAATAGTCTTTATATTATTTTGGCATTTAAAGATTGTTAGCGAGAAGTCTTACACTTTACCACTTGCCTAATGCAGCTTGCATTAGTCATAAAAACAGCCGGCTTTAAAAGAAACATTTGAAAGAACTGTTTCTTCTTTGTTTTTGCAGAGAATGCTGTATTGCCACATTCTTGGCAAAGAAATTTGGCATTGCATCTGTTGGTGCACCACAGACTGCATGTTGCAATTTTGTCAGTGTACTAATTTAATCCTAAGCATTAGCCAAACCCATAGAGGAAAAAGCTGTTTACTTGTAACTGTTGTTCGCAATAAATATGCAATTCATAAGACATCACTTGTCTGGTAAATATGGCCTTTTGTCACATCTCACAATCGTTGACATTTAATTGACTAATAAAAAATCAAACAAATTTGCAGCTCTAGTTGTCCTGTATTCTTAATAATAATAATAATAATCAAGAGCTTCTGAGTGTGTGCGACCAGCAGATGTCACCATCAACACACTGGTTGCTGAACTGGTTGCTGTCATCCTGGAGTGTGTACTGTGATACACCGACAGTCCAGTAACTTTACCACAGGCAGAGTGGTGAAGCCAAGCTTAAAGGTGTAATAATTACACCCAGCTCATTCTGTGTGTTTCTACTTTATTACCACTGACCTTGTTACCAGCAAAGAAATCCACAAAGGGCTACAATATTCTCTATATGTACTTTTATCTACCCAACTGCAAACTGTAGGGTCAACATTATGATGCAACAATGTGTCTTTTCACATATGCATACAGATAATAATAATTCAGCATGATTACCCTATCAAAATTAAATGTTATGGTATCATGAATGCTTATTTCCTTATATATGTACAGTACACAGTTATAATTAGGTTCACCTGGATAAAGTTTTGATTTAACTTTATGGTCATTATGGAGGCTGCAGTGTATTGAGAAGTATTTCTAATATTTTGTCGATCCCTTTCATGTCAATGAGGGTTACATCCACTACATTAAAAATGATTGGACAACAATCAAAATATTCTGTATAATTTGTATTCTTGTCATTTCACTTCTTAAATTTGCTGACAATTCATTTTAACAAGTATTTTGTATTCCAGCATTTTCCACACTTTCCGCCAACTGTTAGGCAACATGAATACGCATAGTGAACTCCATGAGTTCTGAATCTGAGTGGTGTTAAATGAACTGACATGCAGTGAAGCCAAAAGTGGGATTACTTTAAATTCAACAAAGCTGATAAATCATTTAAAAAAAATTATTTATTTGTTCTGTAAATCTAGAGGGTAAGGCATCTGATTGTTTTGCATTATTATTGGTTACCATTACCAGCTGTTACTGAGCAGCACTGTAGAGAATGTTAGTTGAAAACAGAGTAATTTGCACTGTTGTTAATACGCATGTGTTCTTCAGGTCAATGGCACTGGGGCTCGTATGACCTGCAGATGAGCTGGATGTGACAGGAATGGCACTGCTGGGACAGTTTTCCCCAATAGGAGAGGTGGACTTGTGACCCAGGCAGGCTTGGATGATAGCCTCGCTGGAAAAGGCTGACGCAGGGAGTCCATTATTGCGCCTGGAGGAAGCTGAGGATTAGAACACCAAAGAATTTCAATAAAAGAAGTGTCTGTTTGGGGGTTGGGGAGGGGCAGAAGGATGGTGGTAGTGGTGGGGTTGTGGGGTTCCCCTCATTGTCCCAACGGTGATTGAGAGCAAGAGGAGGGGAGTGGGATGGCATTGTGTTCGCAGCTCCTCTGAAGAAGGTGGTTATTAGGGGGGATGGCTAAGGAGGGGTGAGGGCTGGGGAGGCTGTTGACTCTTCATCTTGTGTGAACAAAGTCTCTGGCACATAGCCCTCTTCTGTCCCTCTGTCCTGGACTCCCTTGTTTACGAGTGCCATGAATTCTGTCCCTCTCGGCGGGGACCCCCACCAACTCCAACCTGCACCAGTGCACATTGTGGGGCTTAAGTGCCCTTTAATTAGGCCGCCTCAGTGTCCGGCTGAAGACCGCTGAGAGTTTAGGCTCTTCCCTGTGAGACCTTGCTGAGCAGCTCACACACACCAATAGAGCTTCCCTCACAGAGATGAAGTGTTTGCTGCTCTAATGAAAAAGGTTTATATGGGGGAAGAGTTCTTGTCGTCTTTGTACCCTGTCTTAAAAACTCCTGACAAAGGCATTGATATTATCTTTAACACTCTCCCATTTCCAGGATACATTAACAAGGACTCTGAGGTGAGGCAGCAGGCTCTCAGCCACCAAGAGGCACATGACTTCCAAAATTCTTTAGACAAATCGTGACAGTAACCATGATCCACATCCTGCACAGACAGAACACAGTGCACACCGGGACTTTATTGTTATTGTTATTATCTGGTATTAATTAACCAGGCAATTACATTTCAGTTTGAAGCAAAACAAATCCGGTTCATGGTCATGAAATTCGAATAGGAGATTTCCATTTTGCACATTATGTAGAGGAGCGTGAATTCATGCAAAAATATGTAAAGGAGCGTGAATTCACATATATTCTCCCATCCAAATACGCAGCCAAGCACATGCACAGCTTTGTCATTGTGAAGGAGCACTTTTCATTATCATAACAGCAAAAAGCACAGGATCCGTAGTATAAAGGGGGA